ACAATAGACAATAATAGCAGAGGTGATACCACACAATTAGCTTAATGACATAGCATGCACTCTGCAGTATATACACATGACGGTCTAGTTTGTTTTCATTTCTATAGATCATGAACTAGTAAGATCATGTTCTTTATACGCTTTAACACATTTAATTTACAGTGAGGCTGAAAATTGACATAGGCTGTTTGTACTAACAGATGTTCCAACTTATTAGAAAGTCCTATAAAACATATTTTGACTTGCAACTTTTACAGCAAACTTCATCAATTCTGTTTAGAGATTTTGAAATCTCCAATTCACTAACTAGATGTAAGGAGCAGCCAATGTCTGTAAAGGCTGGAAAGGTGTTTGTGTGCCACCCTCTTATATACATGTCTGACAGTGTTCTTACCAACTGAGCTGACTTTTCAGCATCGCCTCTCCTTCCTTTCTTCTCATTTTTCTTACGGAAGATTTCCTGGAGCTGTAATAGGAGGAAGCTTTTTAATTAGCATAATCAGGTGAAAACTTTTACTTTTCCAGTCTGAACTTTACGTACTAGTATGATTAAGAAACGACTTCAATTTCAATTTCAAGAGCAGTTGTTTGAGTACTTTTTTTTATTTACACCATAGGCTGAAACAGACACATAAAACTCTATAAATATTTGGAATTATCGCCCTTAGCAAAGTATAGAGATGCTTTTTTTTATAGACATCAAAAGTCTTCTGGCTTTTTTTAATCAGGATATTCAAACTTTTTTGTACAGAAAAGATCAAGCTCATTTCAGTTGTTTGGTTTCTTGGTCCTCAGCTTTACTCTCAGTCCACTCATTTCAAATGATGACAATGAATGAGAACAAGGCTGCTACACAATCTCAATGTCGGCTTACTTTATCACATGAACGCCAAGCTGTGTTTATGGTCTGTATCCTTATATTGTTGCAGCACCCAATTTCTGTTGAAATTTTAAGCATCAGACAAACATGACTGGTTTATACCAGATCAGGAAGAGCAGTTAAAACCCTAGCATTATCCTTCACAGTGACAGAAGTACAGTAGTGGAGGGGTGCAAACGTTTGTGCATAAGATCATTGCAAATTTAAAACATACCACAAACACAGAAGAGGAAAAAATATATAAAAGTATAACTGCTTGTTAGTTTGCAGCTTTTAACCTTCCAGCATCTTCCCTTTGCATGTGTTTTTATGTTTGTGTGTTAGCCTAATTTTTGGGTTTGCTAGTCTCGTTTTTGTATTTGTAGTACTGTGTAGTACTTTGAATTTTCTGTGAACTTTTGCGTTTGCAAGGCATGTGCACCCCAAGAGAAGCATCTATTTTTAATAAGATGCAAGACTAAACTAAGAATTATATTAATTAATGCAGCACCCTAGTTACCAACTCCTTGGGCATAAACATTTGATGACATTTCAACTATTAAAAATAAATCTTTGAATCAAAATCAACCTTTTGCTCTCACTTATTATTACCAGAGAACATTAAAGTTATACAAAAATAGGATTTGTCTCACATCATGATATATGACGATATCTACTGATATAAAAGATACTGTAATGGCAATTTTTTTCCACATCGCCATTCTCTACTTTCATTTTCAGGTGATGTAAAAATAAATCATTTTCTTCCTATGACTATTCATGCTTGGAAATAACAGAAATCATGATCTATTGCTACAAGTTTCAGTGTGGGAAACAGCACCTGGCTGCTCCCACAGGATTTTAAACCATTACCACCCCCTGCTGCTGTAGTACCACCCCACTCCCACCCACCTCCTCACTCACTCCAATCCCTCGCTGCCTGCAGCGTTTTCAGTTTAAAAACTGGCATCCTGCTGGGAAAATAACACGCATGAAGCCCTTCCAGAAATGCTACAATCACTCTGCTTAGCTGTTCAATAAGGTGCACTTCTAATCAGCCTTTTTCAAGTGCTTTAAAAATAAAGAACAAGAGGTTGAATTAAAAAAGGCACATCTGCATGATATAGATTATTTAAATGAAAAGGTTAACATGCATAAAGTGTGTTTCACATTTACCACATTTTATTGTATAAACAAATTTGTGTACAATAATTTTTATGGTTTCCTATCTTAACTTTAAATATTCGTCATATTTTGCTGCCACTTATGATAAGTTACAGCAATAATCAAATAGAATTACAAAACCTAAATGTTCACTTCATAAACTGAACCAACGTGTTAAACTTTTGACTTGTTATTAAATATTATTCAAAGGTAATTTTCAAACATTGGCTAGCAAGATATTTAATAGCAAAAATAACACAGATTGTACATGTTCTTTGTACTAGGAACTCACCACCAGGAACTCCCTCTTGTCCACCATCTGGTTGCCGTCTGCATCAAACATATTGAAAGCAATCTTAAAGCCAGCATGTGGTTCTGGAGAACAGATAGGAAAACACACACAGTGTGAGAGCATGTATGTGTTTAGTGAAGGTAGTTTTAAAGCCAGAAAACAGACAGAAAACAAAACACTGTGTCATTTCAATTAATTAAGTTCTTTTTCATAATATTCACTCGGTGTCTCGCTATGGGATGCAGCCTCCTGCAGCCCTGATAGAAGCATCTATCTCAATCTGCCAATCCTGATTGGCCGGTGGAAGTGCCCGTCATACGCCACGCCCCGTAGCTCCGACTACTAAAGCGTGTGCGGATCACGGCACTCCAATTCAAAACCTCTTCTCACCTGAGAGCTTATCTCACGTCGGAGCCTTCGCTAGCTTAACTGCCCACAGACGGACCTTGCTAGTTTCCGTCGCCGGACGCTAGCACTGTGCTCTGGCTTCTGCCCTGTCCGCTCACTCCAGACCGGACCGGTAACCTTTTGTCTCTCTTCACGGCGGAATCCCTCTCGGCTCCTCTCCACGGACGCTCGAGTCGGACGAGCATTTAGCACACCAGCTACTTCCTCGACCCCGCCACGCTAGCACGCCAGCTAGCTACGGTTCCTTTCCCTACCAGCACTCCAGCTCGTCGGGAAATGGCGGCCGTCCAAAACCCCCACGCCAGGGGAGACTACCGTCTTTGTGGCTGCGGGAATAAAATTTCAGGGAAAGACACCCACCCGGTGTGCAGTACCTGTCTAGGAGTCGACCACGCCAGGTTGGCCCTAGAAATTCCCGGCTCCTGTGGACACTGCAAAGTGTTCACGGTCAAGAGCCTCAGACGCAGGCTAGCCCGCCAGGTTAGCATCTCGGGCCGTGATCCATTCCTCCCCACCGCCGCACAAGGTGCAGCCGCGGAGGAGGACGTGGACACAGCTGGGGAAGCCCCGGAGACTGACTACGACTGGGGTGCCCAGTGCGAGCAGCTCCATGCCCCCCCGTTTCCCGAGGAAGACGTGCTGGAAGTCAGTCCCATGGAGGAGGATGACGACACCTCGTTCCTCATATCAGAGGACGAGGAAGAGGATGACACCTTCATGGCCCCAGCACAGCCTGAGAGGCCTAAACCGCCGTGCCCTTCCGCCATGGAAGACAGGGGAGCGAGCTCACCAGCTCCCTCCCTCCATGTGGACCTGCTCGACGTGTGCAAACGCGCGGCAGAGAAGCTGGAGATTCCCTGGCCGGTCGCAATAGCGGAGCCCACCCGGTCCCGCTACGAAGGCAAACGGCTTCCCCTGGCACGAAATGCGGTGAAGCAGCTTCTCCCTGTCTTCCCCGAGTTGCTGACGGAGCTCTCCAAAACATGGACTAGCTGCCCATACAGCAACAGGAGCCCTATTTCGGGCGCAGCATCCCTCGACTGCGAGGCGATGGACGCCCACGGCCTCCTCTCCATGCCTCCGGTGGAAGTCCCGGTAGCTGCGCACCTCTGCCCAGGCAGCGTGAGCCAGCTGTCTGCAGCTTCCCCCAGACGCCCGACGCTGCCAGCTAAGCCCGAACGGTTCCAGTCTGCGCTGACCGAAAAGGCATACAAAGCAGCAGCCCTCTCGGCCAGAGCCCTCAGCGCCCTCTCCATCCTCACTGCCTACCAAGCGGAGTTGTTTGGCGCGTCTGCTGAGGAGCAAGACCCGGATGCGTGGGAGGAGATGGCGGTCATCGCGGACCTGTCTCTCCGTATCCAACGTGTCGCGGTCCAGGCCACAGGGAAGGTGATGGCAACCCTCGTCGTCCAGGAGCGAGCGCGATGGCTCAGTCTCGCTAACCTGACCGACAGGGAGCGGGATGACATCCTGGATATGCCGATCGTCCCTGAAGGCATCTTCGGCTCTGCATTGGCCACAATGCAGCAAAGATGTGAGGCAAAGAAAAAGGACAACGAGGCCCTCAAACTTTGTCTCCCTCGGAAAGCCCCTGCGCCTTCACCTCCGGTGCAACGCAAAACCTTTGCGCATGCAGCCTCCCAGCCGCCGCGTTTTAAGGTACCAAGACGGCCACCACCGCCAGGTCCGCCCCCTCCGATGAGGAAGGAGCGCGGAGCCGGCTGGCAGGGGAAACCTGCCTCCACGACCGCTACGCCACCGCCGCCCACAGCCGCCGCGAGCTCGGTCCCACAGGCGAGGAAGAAAAAGAGGGCGGCCTGACAGCCGCCAGTTCCTCAGTTGGTGCAGCCTGCTGTTCCCCGTTGCGCAGGCCCACCGTTTTGGCTTGTTTGTGCGCACCCCACGCCACCGTTGCCCCTCCCAGAGCCGGTCTGCGAGGAGAAGGACATCGCCCCGGAGGTCTGCGCGGTTGCGCCCCGAGCGGAATGTCCAAAAGCACAGTCACACACCCTTGTTCAAAGAAAAAATGGTGTCAAAATAAAAATAAATCTGTCACAGCCAGGCCACGAGCCGAGGGTGCAGATAATAAAAAAAGCCAAAACAGACGATGCTCTCTCTATAAGCAGGGTGGCCGCTCAGCCCCCTGCAGCTCTGCTCCCGGGACGGGCACCGCCGTCCCCGCGGAGCAGAGCAGAGCGCTCCACCGTGCCTCCGGTGGTGCCCGAGAATAATTTCTCGGTTCCACCACAGGGGGGCGCGGGGCAGGAGCCGCAATATGTTCCCCCGCTCTCTCTCAGATGGGAAAGCTGGAGAGCAGCAGCAGCTCCACCGTGGGTGTTGCGCACAATTTCCCGGGGATACAGGCTTCAATTCGCCACTGTCCCTCCCCGCTTCTCCGGTGTAATACACTCACATGCACAGGGAGAATCAGCTCGAGTTTTACGGGAGGAAATTCTCTCTCTGATAGACAAACGAGCAGTTTCTGTCGTATCTCCCGAACAGAGTCTGTCAGGGTTTTATTCCAGATACTTCCTCGTCCCCAAACGGGGGGGGAGAGGAATCCGCCCTATTCTGGACTTAAGAGCCCTGAACAAATTCCTGCGGAAATACAAGTTCAGGATGCTGACACATGCAGCTCTGTTGCGTCTAGTAAGACCGAACGACTGGTTTTCGTCCGTGGATCTGAAAGACGCGTATTTCCACATTCCCATTTATCCCCCTCACAGACAATATCTCCGGTTTGCCTTTCAAGGGGTGTGTTAAAAATACCGTGTTCTACCATTCGGTCTGTCTCTCAGTCCGAGGGTTTTCATACGGTGCACAGAGGCCGCGGTAGCCCCGCTCAGACGCCGGGGGATACGTCTGGCCACGTATTTAGACGACTGGCTCCTGTTAGCGCAGTCAGAACAGGAAGCCAGGGTTCACACACACATTGTCACAAAACACCTGATGGATTTAGGTTTTGTGATAAATATGGAAAAAAGCCACCTATCTCCAACGCAGGAGATATGCTTTCTGGGATTATCCCTGCGCTCTGTTCCGTTCACAGCCCGCCTGTCAGAGGAAAGAGTGACGGTTTTCAGAACGTGCCTGTCACAATTCCGTCTGCACAGGTCTGTCCAGTTCAGACTGTGCCTTCGGTTGCTGGGTCTGATGGCCTCAGCCATCCTCGTGATTCGCCTCGGCCGCCTTCACATGCGGGACTTTCAGCGCTGGGTCGCTTCGCTCCGAATGGACCCCGTGCGTCATGGCGCACGGCGGATAACGGTCACAGCGGACTGTATAACAGCTCTGCGCTGTTGGCGAGCCCCGTCCTTCCTGACCCAAGGGGTGCCTATGGGCACCGTCTCGTCCAGGAAAGTGGTAACCACGGATGCCAGCCTATCAGGCTGGGGCGGCATTCACGAGGGCAGGTCTGTGAGGAGTCGCTGGAGCCAGGCCCTCCAGCGCCTTCACATAAACTTTCTCGAACTTTCGGCGGTGTTTCTTTCTCTGAGACACTTCCTCCCATTCCTCTCGGGTCACCATGTCCTGGTGAGGACGGACAACACGACAACAGTGGCGTATATCAACCGCCAAGGGGGCCTGCGCTCCCGCATGTTGCACAATCTGGCGCGCGACCTGATTCTCTGGAGCAGTACCCACTTTCTCTCCCTGAGAGCGACGCACGTCCCGGGAGACTTGAACACGGGTGCGGACCTGGTGTCCAGAGGCGCGCCAGTGTACGGGGAATGGACGCTGCACCCACAGGTCGTGGAGCAGATATGGGCGCGCTACGGGCGCGCTCAGATAGATCTGTTCGCGTCCAGGGAAAACGCTCGATGCGAGCTGTTCTTCTCTCTGAGCACTCTGAATGCCCCTCTGGGCGTAGACGCATTAGCGCACGCCTGGCCGCACGAGCTGCTATACGCGTTTCCACCGCTGGCCCTGATACCCCCCACTCTCGCCAGAGTGAGGGCATTCAACCACAGACTGATCCTAATAGCTCCGCACTGGCCAGCGCAACACTGGCTGGCGGAGATATTCCAGATGCTGTGCGCCCAGCCTTGGGAGCTGCCGCTGCGCAGGGACCTGCTCTCGCAGGGTGCGGGGACAGTGTACCACCCACACCCGGAGCGACTGCAGCTGTGGGCCTGGCCCGTGAGTGGCTTAATTTAACCACTGCCGGGCTCCCTCAGAGTGTAATTAATACTATCCAAAACGCCAGGGCTCCCACCACTAGGAACCTATATGGCTCCAAGTGGGGACTGTTTGAGCGGTGGTGTCTTGAACGGGACTACGTTCCTTTTCAGTGTTCTGTACCAGCGATTCTGTCGTTTTTACAGGAACTGATTGATAAAGGAAAAGCTTTTTCCACGGTTAAGGTTTATCTGGCAGCTATAGCAGCATGCCATATAGGATTTGGAGACAAAACGGCGAGCCAACACCCTTTGGTTTGTCGGTTTATGAAGGGCGCCCGCAGGCTCCTCCCCGTCTCCAGACCTTTGCTGCCTCCGTGGGATTTGTCGGTGGTTCTGGAGGGGCTTAAGGGACCCCCATTTGAACCGTTGTTGGGGTCCAGTCTTAAACATCTGTCTCTCAAGACAGTGCTGTTACTGGCCCTGGCCTCTGCGAAACGAGTCAGCGACATTCATGCGCTCTCTGTGAGCCCCGCATGTACCCGGTTCGACCCGGAATACACGCGTATGGTTCTGAAGCCCAACCCGGCCTTTGTTCCTAAAGTGGTTGGTTCTTGTTCACCGATCGAGCTAGCGGCGTTCGCCGCCTCCCCAGGTGAACGGCGAGCGCACACGCTGTGCCCTGTTCGAGCCGTGCGCTCTTATATGGACAGGACGCAGAGCTTCAGGATGAGTGATCAGCTCTTTGTCTCCTGGGCGGAGCCCCGTAAGGGGCAGCCGATCACAAAGCAACGCCTCGCCCACTGGGTGGTGGAGGCTATAGCTTTGGCGTATGGAAGCAGGGGTCTGCGGCCCCCGGCGGGTCTGCGTGCACACTCTACCCGCGGGATGGCTGCGTCCTGGGCTTTATTTTGGGGAGTGTCCGTTCAGGACATTTGCTCAGCGGCGAATTGGTCTTCGCCTCTGACTTTTGTCCGGTTCTACATGCTTGACGTGTCTGGACCGTGCGTGGCCAGTGCGGTCCTAGAGTCATAACTGACCTTGTGGACCTTCCCCATCGGCCGGTTCTTGTTCGATAAGCTGTCTGACAATACGGGAGCTACCATATCCCATAGCGAGACACCGAGTGAATATTATGAAAAAGAACGTTTGGTTATCTAACATAACCCCAGTTCTTAGAATAATATGAGCGAGGTGTCTCGCCAGACGACCCTTCTTGCAGGGCGGCGAGAAGAGGTTTGCTTGTTGAATTGGAGTGCCGTGATCCGCACACGCTTTAGTAGTCGGAGCTACGGGGCGTGGCGTATGACGGGCACTTCCACCGGCCAATCAGGATTGGCAGATTGAGATAGATGCTTCTATCAGGGCTGCAGGAGGCTGCATCCCATAGCGAGACACCTCGCTCATATTATTCTAAGAACTGGGGTTATGTTAGATAACCAAACGTTTCTCACAGAAGTACCATATTCTTTTATAATAACTGAATCTTTTATTCTTTTATACAATGTTAACTTAAGGTTCAGTTTCATTGGCTTAAAGGCAAATAGGGACTAAGTTCAAGGACTATCTTTTTGTTTTATCAAGTCATGACAGCATTGGAAATGCTTTAGCTCATCAAACGTACAAAGGATGATTCCACGCTAAACTTAAATTCCTTAAAAGACTGTTAAATCAATGAAAAATTTATAGGGAACAAAAAACGTAATACTTTACTGTAATTAGGGCCACCGTGAAAATACAAAGTTCTAAGACCTTCAAGATCAGGACTTGTCAAAACTGGAGAGCATAATTTTAAATTGAATACATACTTTTTAAAAAGCAGTTTGTGATTTGAAAAAATGTATTCTGTTCATTAAGAAAAAATGTGTTTCTTAGTTGACCAAAAACTTTTGCTAAAATCTAATCTTGGCTCGTTGTCTAAAGTCCAACAGGGCTTTTTCTCTACAGCTGGATTGGGTTTTTAAAGGAGAAGTTCGGTTTTTAACACTTTTAGCCCATTTTCTGTAGTGTCCAGGATGAAATCGAATGATCGACACCAAAATTTTGACAATTGGTTCTGTCTCTGCTTTTTGGCTCATTTAGAATCCACCCCTGGCTGCTTTAGAATGGCTTCCATAGAGCATGTCCGATAATGTCCTTAAAACAACCTTAAACGTTCTTTTTTTTAAATATGCTACTCACCGGGTCGTCAGCGCTGTTCAATGACGTTCCAAAAAAGGTTTCGTGAAGAAAAAACGTTCCTGTAGTGTTTTATTTAGCATTTTGTAAATCCCATTGAGTTCTGTTGGAATAGTCAATATTCCCCTGCCACCGGAAACGGAAATGGGGCCTGTTTGCACAGTTGTAGTCTTTTCGCTTCACTCTGTGTACTCCGACGTCGAGGTGCTAACGTCTCTGTTAAACACTTTAAAAAACTCTGAAAATGGAATACGAAAGGTGGATTCTTGATTCTCGACGTCGGAGTACACAGAGTGAAGCGAAAAGACTACAACTGTGTAAACAGGCCCCATTTCCGTTTCCGGTGGCAGGGGAATATTGACTATTCCAACAGAACTCAATGGGATTTACAAAATGCTAAATAAAACACTACAGGAACGTTTTTTCTTTACGAAACTTTTTTTGGAACGTCATTGAACAGCGCTGACGACCCGGTGAGTAGCATATTTAAAAAAAAGAACGTTTAAGGTTATTTTAAGGACATTATCGGACATGCTCTATAGAAGCCATTCTAAAGCAGCCAGGGGTGGATTCTAAATGAGCCAAAAAGCAGAGACAGGACCAATTGTCAACATTTTGGTGTCGATCATTCGATTTCATCCTGGACACTACAGAAAATGGGCTAAAAGTGTTAAAAACCGAACTTCTCCTTTAAGCATCTTTAAGCAAATTAAAAAAATTAAAACAACTGTTCTCATGGTACGTTCTAACAAAACACATTTTAAGCATCAAAATGCCTCAACTTTGAACGCTTTTACATTTTGAAATAAGAAGCTCTGGATGCTCGACGCTCCTGACATTGAGCTGCTCTGCTCTATTCCCTTGCAGTAGAGAGGGGATTAAACATGTTTTTAAGAGAGAAAGTAAACCTTAAAATGTCATCAGTTCATCAGGACTATGATTCTATTTAAATGTTCTGTTCATACTGCACTGCAGAACGACAGATAGTGCTGGGAGTCATTAGTGAAAGTTCCCTGAAGGCACCAGGCTGTCAGAGATTTCCCGCTGCCATTTGTAGGGGCTGAAAGTTAATAGAAATATATTTTTAGGTTTGTGTTAGGCTGCACTGTTTGGGGGCACAGCCCACTAACCAGAGTACTGAGGTAATCCTACACTCAGATTTTTAGAAAACACCAATTACAGCCTTATATCTAGTCTTTACTGATACATTTGACATTAGTTCTCTCTTGTAATCCAACCATTTACATATTGTAAAATTGTAATTAAAACCTTTCTCTCACCATAAACGAGAGAGCCTGGCCAGTAATATTGATCTGACTTTAATAGATTAAAGTTTAATACTGATTTTTAGACATTCATAGAGCTGAGTAATTATTCTGTGCTTGTGTTAGGAAACTAAAGAACCTTGGCAAAACTGATGAAAGACAAAAATAAGGAATACAACTTGATAGTAGATTTCAGGGTATGAAATTGAATATTTCTCGCAAGCAGGTATTGACGTTTTCAGTCCACAAAGGTGTAATGCACTGTATCGGCACAGTTCAGTGAGAAAATACTTTGGTGTACTTATAATGATCACAGAACTCCCACTTTCTTCTCTGCATAAAAAATTATCTTCCCCTTTTTTTTTTTCGTTAAGACCCGTGGAGAATAACCCCTTTATATATAGTCATTTTTCATAGTTTTATGCTGTCTACCAAACAGCTCCTGGATCAGCTTCTCTGATTGGTTGATCCTCAACGTCCAGCTGTAACTCTTCTAGTCTAAAAAAAGACTCATTTGTTGAAATGGGGGGACCTATTGTTTGAACCCCTTAGGGGCTTTTAAAAACAAAAATGCCTGTCTTTTTTTGCACTTTATGAAAAAAAGTACCCTATATTTTGTGGATGTACAGCTACATTTCTCATGTAAGTTTGCATAGTTTTAACACAAACATTTATTTTTCATATCGCACCAGTACAGTTAATGAGCAACCTGTACTTGTGTCCTTGTTTGTTCTGTCTAAAATGTTTATTTTGGAATAAAAAGGTTAAAGGAATAGTACACCCATAACATGATTAGCCTTCATTTTCTACTCACCCCCATGCTGAACAACACTCTGGAGTACTTTTTTGATATCTCAAATGCATCTGGAGATCTGGGAGGCTTCTTGCTGTCTGCTGACATTCAACTAATGGAGGTCTATGGTGCCCGAGACAGAAAGGTCCATAAAAGTCCACAAAAACGTGTCAATATTCCTACATACTGCTCGTCCAATGTATTCCAATTGTCCTGAGTGGGTAGCGTCCAGAATTTACTCGAAACGAAGTCATTTAGAATGTTTTTAGAGCATAAACAGTAGTGTATAGGATTTCCTGAAAGCGCGCACATGCGCGTTCACGAGCCTACGGAAGCCGGCAGACCAAACCAGCGCATTCAGCTCGGCAAAGAACTCCTGCTCTTCCTCAACACTGAAGTCCTCAGACATTTTTCTTTCGTTGTTTCTTTCTTTGCACAGGTAAACAGCACATTTCTTCTTCTACGCTTGCATTATTCGAAGAGCAGACGCTGAATGCGCACTTTCATCTGGTTTGGTCTGCCGGCTTCCGTAGCGTCCTGAACGCGCTGGCGCGCGCTTTCAGGAACTACTATACACTACTGTTTATGCTCTAAAAACATTCTAAATGACTTCGTTTCGAGTAAATTCTGGATGCTACCCACTCAGGACACTTGGAATACATTGGACGAGCAGTGTGGAGGAATATTGACACGTTTTTGTGGACTTTTATGGACCTTTCTGTCTCGGGCACCGTAGACCTCCATTATTTGAATGTCAGCAGACAGCAAGAAGCCTCCCAGATCTCCAGATGCATTTGAGATATCAAAAAAGTACTCCAGAGTGTTGTTCAGCATGGGGGTGAGTAGAAAATGAAGGCTAATCATGTTTTGGGTGTACTATTCCTTTAATATAAAAATTTTTTTTTGTCCGATTCATCGATTAATCGAAAAAATAATCGGCCGATTCATCGATTTTTAAAATAAACTTTAGTTGCAGCCCTAATAAAAATAAATCCTGCTTGAAATTCAGTCGGCCGTCATAAGATCGCATGATCGCACGTGATCTGTGAACTTTTCAACCCTGCGGTTTTGTCGTACAGTTTGAGCAGTAGCTGCGTGCAATGAATCAAAATTTTGCACAGTGTATGTTCTGCTTAAACCAGACATCCTAAGGTTTAGGAAAGTATTTGAAGTAAATGCACCATAACAGTGCCTTGTTTAATCTGTAACAAACACATAATGTGCAAACTGGAAGCAACAAATATTGCTGCTATTTTTGCAGTAAGACTTTCTTCTTTCTCTGATTTTTATTTTATTCAATTGTTTTAAAAATAATACAGTTGTTCCTTGCCCTGCAACAGACTGGTGACCTGTCCAGGGTGTACCCTGACAGACTCGCACATAGAACGCAGATGTGGACCAGCCCCACAACAACCCTAACCGAATAAGCGGGAGAATGTGGATAGATGGAAAGTTAGCGTATTAGCAGAACTGTACCAACTACTGGCTTCAGAAATAAAAAGAAACAAAGACGACGAACCTTCATGAAAATGAAGAATGTTGTGAAAGAAAGAACAAAATGACTCACTTGTCAGTATGCAGAGCAGAAACAGGTACTCTGTGTAGGAGATGATTCCTAGTAATGAGATCAAGACAGAGTTAGAAGTCACATTTAAGGCATTTTTGCACTATGTTTATAGAAGTTGCTTGTGTCACACGCAGTCGTACACACTGACACAAACATACTCCACTGGGCTACAACGATACAATCTTAAAATGTGTCTTCTTCCATCTCAGCCACCTACAGTCATTTGGCCCCACACAGTGTTGACTAAAGTGTCCAGAAGAAGACACGTTTGTGTTTATGTATATGTGTGTTTGGATAAGCATGTGAAACAAGTTTTAGGGAGATATTTTTTTCCTTCCTCAGACACATTTACAATCTCTAACTGCGCACTCTGCTCTTTTTTTTCTCTCTCTCACTTTCTCTCTGATCGCTTAGATAGTTCAGGGTGACTCGCTCAACTGACTCCCACTGCTGTGCATGTATTCATTAGTGCGTGTGATGGTGAACATGACACCGGTTGGAGTCAGAGTGGGTCTTGTGTTTAGCTCAATCCTGACTGCTTTGTGTAGAGCAGCTGGTTTGGAACTGGACTCACTTTAACTGGTGCACCTCCAGCTCTGAAACAAAACAAAATAC